TGCGCACAATACCGTGCGCGTTTCATGACCTTCGATAATTGGACTCCTTCGAAGATAACCCTGAGCGGATGTATGATAGTATTCTAGAAGTGGAGTCCATCGTCAATGAATGACTAATGACTTTTTTTTCTACATGAGTGCTTCACTCGATAGAAGAAATTGTCGCTAATTCACGCCTGTCACAGGGATTATTCACGTTATACGCTACCCATCATAACATTCAAAGCGAGTAGAACTAACAAAATTTTTTCCGCCTCTACCTGTTGCCGTCACAATTTATCAGCACAAACAAACTCCAAAAAAAAGAATTTGATATCAGCCGTAGCTCCTCATGTCAGCCTTCTTATAATGCTCATCGGACCGCCCGGATGACGCCGGGCGCTCCTCCTTTCTGTGTAAAAAATACCCTGTCGCCTACGTTTCCTCCAAATTGGGATACTCTGGTATAGTTGAACAGGAGGTAAAAATCTTGGCCAAATACATACATACCCACATAAATACTCCCAACACTTTGTTCGCGCCTCGCCCATAATAAGTTTAGTTCTGCTCAACTTATCTGTGCCTTTTTAGGAAAGCGTTGGGCCGCGCACGATACGTGCGCGTCTAAGGGCTTCTCATAAATGAATTTCCTCGAGGATAACCTGAAGCGTAATCGTCTTGGCAACTTACATAGTAACCACCCTCTTCCTAAAAATGAACAGTACCGATCTTGCACCCGAAATAATAGCGTCATAAGCCGTTTATTGGGAACGCACATTTCGAGCAAACTGCATTTGGCCACCCTTTGCATACTTTCATCTATATACTGACTGAGACTGAGACAACCCAAAAAAATCAAAAAAAGACCATCATTAATTTCTTATTTACCCCTTACCATTGTGGAATACCTGTATTTCACTGGAGATGAAATGGGAGTTTATTTACACTATGAAATTTATCCGCACCCGTTGCAGCAGGCATTTGATAGCTACCAATCGACGATCTCGTGGCCAATATATTGTTTGATGAAATTTCATGCAAAAATCATTATAGGCAGGACCACATCTAGTGTTTTCGCGCAAACACCGACCCCGGTGAGTAGAGTTACCTGTCATTAGTTTTCCTATCTTGTCGTCTACATTCTACCGAATTTGAACAATCCATTTCCAAATTTACTATATTCGAGGAAACCCCGCCCCCAGTGGGTGGAGTCTGCACCTGCCACCTACCATTAGTTTTCCCTTTCTGCCGCCTACATCCCTACCAAATTTGAAGGTCTCAGGTCCAAATTTACTATATTCGAGGAGGCCCCGCCCCCAGTTTGCGAAGTCTACACCTGTCACCTACCATTAGCTTTCTTACTTGCCTCCTGAATCTCTGCCAAATTTGGATACTCTAGGCCCAGGAGAACAGGAGTTACAGATTCCGCTTAGCTACAGTTTTCGCGCACGCCCCGCCCTAGTGGAACTCTCCGCCCCTGGTGGGCAGAGCTAGCTTGAGTCACTTGTACCCAAGTAGTTAGGCTCATTCCTCACTTGTTCCAACCTGTCTGAGCTGTTCCAGTTGATTTCCAAACGGCACCATTAAGATAGTGTTACATACAAACAGACAAACATACAGACAAACGGACTTTTGCGGTTTATGCAGTAAGGATTGTGAGAACTTTATTTTAGGTCAAAACTACGCGGAGAATATGGTGTTTTTCAAGGGCCGGAGCAAGGACATTAACAATTAGCAATTTACAGGAGGCACTCTATATGCTGAGCTAATGTGAAATGTGACGAGTCCATCACTGAGCCTTTTCATTGATGCAATGCCCTTCTTGTGAAATACATATTCAGCACCCTTGTTCCCGGTAATCTACCACATGAAAAATATTAAGCCTAACCAAATGTTGACCTTTGTGTTAGGCTTCATAAGCATCACAAAAGGGATTTGCCATAGCCGATTCAGGCGCTCCTCTTCTCGCGTTCGTGCTCTGAAATAGTTCTGAATCCAAAGTGCAGTAATCAAACATCTCTCTCTGAAATTCATTTCAGAGTGATCGATGAAGAGCGGCACGGAAAAACGCTACAGTTTCTTCTTCCGAAAGCTCACCTCAGTTCTCCAGCTTTACGTCTTTATGATGAGTTGGGCAGTTGTCAATCGAAGTAATAAAGCTTTTGGATTGGCATTATAATGGTTAGAAATGGATCATAGGAAATGACCAAACATTACCGATCAGCAAGATGAATTTTTAGAGTGACGCAGAAGGGAAGTTCAAATTCTCGAAGTTCACATCCGAATTTTATACTCTCTTTAAATTTAGCAAATCGTAAATCACAGTTCCAGATTCCGAACCCCTGCCTNCTATTCTGAACTGCAGTCCATACTGATCGGCTCTTTTTCATGACGCTCAATTTTGATCGCTACCATGCTTTAACCTTCTCACTATTTCGCCCAAAACGAAATCTAAGTTTCGCTCACTACCCATGTAACGGGAATCACACGGTCGTCCTGCTCTTGTAGTTCCCCCTCTTCTTTGGCGTACTCCTAGTCTTATCAAATCTCGACCTATGTGTTTCGTATGAAAAAAAATGTATGCACAGCCAATAAAACACCGAAATGCATGTAGATAGCATGCACATAGAGCAATTGAAATGTACCATGCGTAAAAAAATGATAGAGTGAATTGACTTGCACATAACTCATGATGAAGAACACCGCAGCGATGATTATGCAAATCGGTACGATAACAGCGGCCAGGGTAATGGCTAGGTACTGTTCCACGAAGGACAATGGGCAGGCGCTCCTGTAATGTAATATTTAAACGTGCTCACTCTCTTTTCAGAAGGGTTCTGTGATAATCGTTGTAACGGTGCCTCTATAATAATAGGTTGATGCATAATTATTGCGGATTTTTTCGCGGCTTTTTTTCTCTCGAAGGAATTCGAATACTGAGTTTGGGCTCTTTAGAAATGATCTGCTTGAATTCCTCTACAAAAATGTACCTAGAAAACCATCCACATATTCGCGAAGTTAGGCTTAACTACTTCGAGAAAGATTGGAAGGTGGCAGAGTCATTCCGCGATCTTAGTAACTTTTCGGCGATGGAACAATCAGCCAAAGCCAACCAAGAAATGGGATCTGCTTCTAAATCTGCCATATTCACCAGCAGAAACTTCTGTGGATTATCTCGTCAACCTTTCGCTGAAAAAAGGGCTATGGAATAGAAGTCACGTCGATTTGGATGACTTGATGGCCGATGTCAAGGCGTGGATAAAAGCACTTCGCTTTTGGAATCCGACTATCTAGCCAATGGGAAGCAGTGCTTGACGTACATGGTGGATAAAATCCGCAGTAATTACTCGAACATGTTTTTGTTCAGTATTTTCTATCGTTTCGTTAAATAAAATTTTTTGAACAAAATCCGCAATAATTATGCGTCAACCTAATAGTTTTCATACATACATATGTATGTAATTAATGGCTGCTGTAAGCTTTGGAAAACTGAGATTGAGAAAGCAGAGATTTGCTTTGGAAAACTCATGCTCTGGAGGGTAAAGATCCAGGCCAAAATGAACGCAACAAAGTGGAAGAATTCCGAATCTGGTAGGAATTGACTTACGAAATTTTTCATATCTGGTAATTGCATATATTTTGGCATAGTATCGCACTTCCAAACACCATTTCGTAAATCCTTCAACGATTAAGCATCTTGCAGTCAATCTACCAAATTTCGTAATGCGTAATTAGACATTTAATGCTCATGGACAGGTGAAGACCCTCCTCCTCGTTCACAGCCCCCATTATCTACCTACTGGCGCTCCACGTGCTGGACAGCGTCTCCTCGTGGGTGAAGCAACATAAACAACTTCGTCACTCTCAGAATCTGCGTCTCAGCAACCCGGAGGAAGTGTTGCACGAAAGTACAGGAGAATCGGAACTTGTCTGCATAGTCTCTACATCGTTGTGCAGCACCAGTTGAAGGTCAGTTGTAGACTGTTAATGAAACACATCGACCACGTAACTGGCCAGAACCCTCCTGAGCTTTTGGAGAATGTGACGGTATCGAAACATCATCTACGCAGCTTGCGATGACTTGTTTTTATTCCTGTGGAAGCTCGTGATCTCTATATACATATTTTCAGCGCACGCCTAGCTATAACACAACAATCCCTGCTGTATACCTTGACGATTGAATTAACGGTGTTAGTGTTAGCTCAGCATGAGCCGAGAACATTACGAAATCTACAAAATTGACTGCGAGGTTTATAAAAGAAAGGTTTAAGTGGTGTTCAGAAGTGAGAATCTGATAATCTTGTTATGTCGTGCGTCTTTTTGTGAGCAACTTATCACTAGAAGACGACATAACATCAAACAACAAGGGTTGTTCTATTCACATGTATCGTAAAGGTTTTCGGACAATCTTTCGAATGAGAAACATTATCTGCTTTTCTTGCAGAAAAAAGCAAGTATTCGATACCATCCTCGAGCCGTCTTGAAGAGAGCGCCTGGAGCATTACTATTCAAAGAACCCTCAAAAAACTAATTTTTCTATAATTTGTCCTAAAGAATCTCATATGATACGAACCCGTCGTAGTCACATATCGGACGACTGAGTGGAGGAGCACCACCATATGTAGCCCAAATTACCGATGGAGGTTGCACTTCCTCGATCTGGAACCAACATTTGCATTACATTCGTTTGGAATGACTAAGCTTTTGCAGCTTCAGTCATGCACTTATTTGCGACCGACAACTGCGCGAAGAATTAGAGTGGGTGTAGATTCCTTTACCCTTTCCAAATAGAAGTGCTTGAAATCCAACAGTCAGGGTATGGTGCAGTTTTTTATGCGTCGCACAGCAAGCGAAGATCAAAGAGCCCATACATCGTATTCTTAAGCAAAGACGCCTAGGGAGTAGTGAGGGGTTGACATACGTAGTTCTCATGTTAGAACGCACAGATGGACACCGCGGTATTCCCGCAGTTTGCGCATTTACAGGTAGCACACTTGAATGCGAAATTGTTTCTAATGGCAGAATGACGTATTGAAAATTGGAATCCTGAACGAAGCCTTTTTTAAGAGGGGTATAAAACGTAGATTCGACTTAATGTTTTGTTAACTGCTGTTATTTGCCCCCAGCACGCGATACAAAAATCTCCTAAGCCGGCCGGGCAAGTTATGAACAAAACTTCGGCTTCGACTCGACCTCTGACTTTAGCGTGTACTTGTGCTATCCGGACACCATGTTCTTATACCACCTATATAATCAGCTAAGTGTGTCTGCTGGTGTGTACCTGAAGCGTTTAAATTTGGTAGGAGTACAGGCGGCAGGATGGGAACACTTTTAGTGGGTGGCAGGACCGAACTCCGCCCGAAGGGGGTGCAGTTCATGAGAAATAAATGTTCGAGCGAAAATTCAGAACTCCTGTCCCCTTGATCCTAGAGCACTCAAACTTGGTAGGAGTACGGGCGGCAGGATCAGAACACTTAGGGTAGGTGGCAGGATCAGACTCTTGCTACAATGGGCAGGGTTTGTGTTAAAACTCACAACACCTGTTTCAGTGCACCTAGAGCGTTTAAATTTGGTAAGAATGCAGGCGGCAGGATGTTGACAATTATGGTTGGTAGCGGTAGCAGACTCCGCTAACAGTGAGGTGAGTTTGGGCAAAAATTCACATTTACTGTTCCCGTTCACTTAGAGCATTCAAATTTGGTAGGGGTACAGGCTGCTGGATGGAAACAATTATTATAGGGGCAGGACCGGATAAGGGGAGGAGTTTCAGCAAAATTTCATAACTACTGTCACCGTGCATCTAGCGTGGTTGAATTCATTAGGGGTTTAGATGACAGGATTGACAGGGTGGGAACACTAATGGTAGGTGACAATTCTTGACTATGGGCGGGGCGTGCTTGAAAGTTAGCAGTTTGGACCAGGGGCATTCGAATTTGTCAGGAATAAAGATGGCAGTATGGGAATGCTGATGAGAGGTGGCATGATTGACAGAATGCGGGACGAACGCGAACACAAAAATGCTAATTTTGACCTGGGGCATTCAAATTTGGAAAGAGTGCAGGCGGCAGATTCAAGACACCGATGGCAGATAGTAGAAGGTAGCTAAACTGGATCCAGCAGTCAAATTGGAATAAGAAGAAATGAACCAAAGGCACAATTGTGCTGGTGCATGTGTTTCGCTGGAAATCAATAGCTCCTGTTTTCTTGGATCAGATTTTTGAAGCCTGGGAGAGTGCAGGCGGCGGATCAACTTTGTCACAAGAAGGAGGAGAGCTCGGCGTCAGCCGGTCGATCCGACTGGTCCCTTACATTATCGAGACCCCGGTTGCCCTCGCCTCTTTAATGGCACCATTCAACATAATTTTGGATGATCTAGATAATGACGAAAAATGAATAAGGGTGTAGAATAGCGCGATGGAAGCGAAGAAAGCACGAGAATCGGAGATCCCAAGGAGAAGAAGGCTTCGAGAAAGTTCGGCAAAAATGGAGCTGGACAAGAACAAGACATAAAAAGGATGTAGAAGGAGTGTTTGAAGGAGCTATACAATGTGTGTCCTTGCGCACAGCTGACTACAATGAGCGAAAACGTCTTTTATCATCTCTCTCTGTCTCATCATCCATTCAATACATTCAAAATCACTAGCATAAGATAACAAAACACAATTAATAGCAAAAATAACTCTTCATCGTTTTCTTTTTTAGGAGGATACTTTTCATGCCTGTAATGTAGAAAACCAGAAAAATGACAGAAGCAGCAAAAAGGCTAAGAGAATAAGAATGAAAAGTTTTTTCACCACTCGGTGATCACCCGATTGCATGCTGAACATGTGAATCCTGGTGCAAATAGCGCAATCTGTGTCCTCTCGACCTTGTCTGACTTAACATCGGTCGGTGGGCGTGTATGTCGACGAATCCGGTAAAGGGATTCATGTAATGCCCTATCCATTGAGTTTTCCGTCCCAACAGCGTCCCTTGGGAGCCACTAGGTATTCCCAGGAGGAAATCGTGAGAATCATTTTTATCAAGAACTATGCCTTTAATGGCTTTTATGTCATAGCTATTTCATAGGTGGTACACGATAGCTACCCTTTCATGTACGACCACCGCGGTGTTAGGGTGACCACGTCGGATATGCTCCTCTACGGCGTTGGAGGAAGTCTCTACTGATGAGGGGCCATCCAATCTCGCATGGGAGTCAGTACCAGAACCGGAACCCTGGGAATCTCTCCAAATCGCGACACATGGACTGCCTTTTCGTCTGCTCGTATAACTGCCGCACTATAGCGTCGGAGGCCAGTCTTCGGATGCTCTTAGTAAGTAGCCGGTTGGTTAAATATGATGTTATCGCACTACACGAGATGAAAGGCAGAACGGAAACCATTCGAAAAACGGATCACAACGAGCTGCTCAACATCGGACCTAAAGCGGACGACAATGTTGATGGAGCAGGATCTCTGATCAATTCGACAATCGCCTTTCGACACTCGCATAACATCGTCAGTCAGCGTCTTACCGTCCTCTGTCCGCGCACAAAAGACCGCCGCGCAGACGCGCAATTTTTATCATCAATGCATATGCACTACCTCCGCGGCGGCAGAGGAAGAGCGAAAGGAAGTTTACAGGCTTTTGGAGAAGACCATTCAAGAGGAGAAGAGCTACTATAAATATGTTGTAGGCGACTTCAACGCCGTCGTGGGCACGAACTGCATTGGAGATTGGAGGCTCGAACCTATGGTTCTGGCGACAGGACCGGAAAACTTTTTCTGAACCTTCTATATGCGTGCCGCCTTTTCCATGGAAATTCCATTTTTGAAAGACCAGCTAAGCGACGATGGACTAGGGAGAGTCCAAACAGCCAAACGGATACGATAATAGATCTTGCTCTCACTAATCGACGCTGGAGTTTACTTGATATATCAATGTTGCCCTCTTTTACACCGGCTCGGATCATCGCCCAGTGCCAAAAATGCGACTCAACAAGCGGATATTCAAGCGCGGCACGCACAGGTCAGCATACTTCAAGACTCCCTCCTTCAATGCAGAGCTACTTGAATCTGTCATTGGAGCTTACAATTGGCGTCTTTTAGAGGATTTCACAGAAGATTACGAATAAATGAGAAGAACTTTGCTGACAGTTCCCGTCGTTCGGAGCCAGCCCGAATTCCGAGGTTGAATGCTCTTGCCGTCTTACTCTTGGAAAAAAGGAGTGCACTAAAACAGGATCCTAACGCCGACCACCTGGAAAAGATCCTCGTCAAAAGTCTGCTGTATGGCTGTCAAGTAATCTTTTCGGGAGTACAGGAGAACCAAGTTNCTTAACAGGCCCAAAACAAACATAATAAGCCTTTCAAAGAGCCTTTCTCATAGCCACACACTGCAAGTCGACGGGCTATCCACGACATACACATGCGATATTTGAAGACCAGAAATCCTTACCAGTGCAATGCTGTTGTTGTCCAATTTCTCCGTGATTTTCATCATAACGATTTGTTGACCAGCAGAATCGAGACCATACACAAGAAATACTGGATCTCGAGTAGCATTTTCGTTGATGATGAGCGTTCCAGTGAACCCTAAACTATCATACCTACAGAATTCTTGAGAGCGATGTCACAAAGCCAAGTATTGTCTTCGAAAAAGCGTGACGCACTCGATGAATACCAGCATCTATTCAATCCTTGCAACCCGGATGGGTAAGCAAGTAGTTGTAGAAAATGTCATTATCATCATTATAATATTGCCACTATTCATTTTACATTTTATTAGAAAAAGTGACCACCTTGAAATTCCCCTTTGGAGAACTGCACTAACTGAGAGCCAGTTGGATCAGGTACTCCAGCTGCAATCGAGCGATTTAGTGCCAACGCGTACAGCAACATTGCATCAGCCAGCTCGCCGACTTGAGATAAAGCCTGAAAATCGCTATATGGTTCTTTTCCGAGCTTCATGAGAGACATTCAAAGATCAGTAATAGCCCTTTTTCATAAGGTTACATGCATTGAACCTTAACCTGTTTATAAGCAAGCAGCCTTTTTTGAAACTTGAAACCCAACGTTATACCGCCGGCGATTTCATCACGAGATTGGCTTTGGAAGAGCGGCTAAACAGCTTCACATCGTGTCTCATGGAACGAAATGAAATGGGCAAGGTAAAAGGCTGCTTTTGGTTATCATGCCCACCCACACCATCCATGGTCATTCGCAGCTCTAGAAAACTTCTCTTTCGCGATGGGCTTGGAAATCAAACGAATGGATTAAAGGCGCGGTTCACGGGATAAAAAGGTTACTGAGTTCTTTCTTTAGGAATTCTCAGCGCCCCCATGGGTGGTGGAAGGGTCCCTCTCGCTCCCACAATCTCGGCGCTTAGGGCATGGTGGAAGCCCTGCTGCTGCCCTAGTTGGCTCTAAGGCCCCTCTATCGATGCCACGTTAGACGAGTGTCGCGACAATACATATTGCAACTATTCGTTCTAGGACCCACACACAATCAGCTGATGCCGAGTGATGAGGCGATGTTTTCTCCCACTCTTTTCCTCTGTTATTCTTTTTGCTGCCGCGATCCCTTATTCAATTTCCTACTTCTACAGGCTAAAAAAGGTGAGCTACTTTTACTATGGTTACTGTTACTATGGTTCTTTGTTTAATTATGCTCATAAGTGAATGAATTTTTGCTTACTATAGTCTGTTATTCGCACCAAGACCCACATGTAGGCAGTGAGACACATTGTATAGCTCGTAAAAAAACCCCACTCTTCTTCATTCTTCTGGTCTCATTCNCGTCCAGCCCCCTTTTTAACGTTTTTTCGAAGCTTTTTTCACTTTGGAAATACCGATTCACGCAGTTTCTTCACCTTCGTCGCACTATTTTCGATCTTGTCTTCCATTTTTCATCAAAATCCGGATTACCCAAGATTATCGTGAACTGTGCCTTTAAGCCGTCCCCGATTGAAGTTTTTCTTCACTGACGTTGCCGTCTTTCTTAACTTGTACATGGGATTTATTTATTGCCTACTCCTCTTTTCAATGCGTGAACTTCAAGAAATGAAGCTCCAAGACAATCATCAATGTGGATTACTTGGCTTCATGGGAGGGTTTCGTTACCGGCAAAGTCGATGGGGATTATGATCGGCTCGTCGGACAACTTGACTATACTGCCAGGAAGACGGAGAGTTTACAGTCGTCCAGAGAAATTTTTCGTTCCAGGGACTCTTGTACTGCTGGGTCTTTGTGGAACCGCGCGAGCTACAGGAGTGATAGACTAACGTATGAATCCCAAAATTATGAAGGGAAGCAATCAAGGAAGATCTGAAAGGGAGAGGAGCAGTCCGTTGTCGATGCGGCGAGGCTGGGAAGAGCATTTGCAATGCCCACCTGATTCGCCAATTACAAAACCAGATGAATTCCGTTCTTCGCCTTGACGGAAATATTTCTAGGTATAGAGAGCAAGAGCAAAGGTCATCTACGACTTCTACTCGGATTTGTTCGACGGCCAAGCCTTCCTGCCCATCTATCACCTCGGGCAACATAGAAATTCCCTTCCTACAGTTCTCCCATTCGAAATCTAACAAGCCATCACGCCGATGAAGAAATGTACGGCTTCCGGTCCGATAGGATCAAACCGAAACAGCCTATAGCTTCTTCCCAATTGTCCTCTGAATACTGGCTAGGCTATCATGACTGCCAAGACTGCTACTGCCATTATCCGCATTGCAGTTTTCGTCGTGCTTGTAACACAGAACATCGAGCAGACCTAAGGAATGCTGTTAAGAAGACAATGGACACCCGCCTTCATGCTCTCCTTTCTGGCGCGGCGATCGTTCCTGCTATGACGTATGCTTCAAAGAGCTGGACTCCACGCAAGCAGGATGAGCATGCAATTAGCGACATCCAACGCGCTATGGGAAGGACCATGCTCGGAATTCCCCTATACACGCAAGTGCAGAGAGGAATCTGGTGTGATAAGCTTCGTCGACGAACGATGAGGGATGCCATTGATTTCGCCAAGAATCATCAAAGTGAGCAATTGACCGTTTGTCTCCCTGCCGTGCGGCGGCTCGCACCTTTGCTCTCGTTGCCTTCTTGATTCACTCCGTTGGGTGTACTGTCTATTTGCTGTATACTTCTCCAACACTTGGCGTTGCTCAGAGTGGCAGCTGGGTTGATTTAGAAGATTGAAATCTGCCACCGTAGCAGGTACACTCATCTGTTTTTGCTTTTGTTTTATCATCAGCAAAGGTGCAATCGAATCGATCGATCACTATTGCCGTGTACTTCATCGACTAGCTGTGGTCAAAGAGGCTCATTGGTCAACGACGCTTCTTGCCCATTGCTGGACTATTTATCTGGGCTGGTTATCTTGCGTCGTTAGTTATATTGCGTCCTATTTTTTGTGTATTGGATATTGACGACGCTCAGAGTGGCAACTGGCCATCTTCTCTATTAGTGTTGTCACCACGACAGGTATTTCCTCTTCTTAAGTGCGATATATCCTACTAATTAATAACTGTGAGTTTCTATATCACTCGACATTGCTGCACCTGTGTATGCAATGGATGTGACTGTTGCTTCATGTGTTACAAGTGCCAACATCTCCTGTCAGGAAGAGTCATGTTGGCTGGATCTGCAGAGTAAGCTGGAGGAGATATCTAGGTCTAGGCGGGTCACTGACTCTGTGAAGAATGTTCTTTGTGCCATGATGACAGAATTGAGTTTTTACATCCTGAAAACTTGAATTTGGAGAAACAATTTAAGGACTTGCGAGACAAAATTGCTGATGAGTTGATGAGCAGTAGTATTCAGTTGTCTAGTAGTCAAGCTCCACCATCGGGCCAGAGCGACAGCAAAAAGAGCTCCAGCCCATGTCATGAAGTACTGTATGAAGAGGTTGAGAGATTGAGATCTATCGTAGTATCTGGTATTCCTGAAGCCGCTTCTTCGAATATTAGAGAAAGATTGCCGTACGACTTTCATAGC